CTTTCTCGATTAAGGGTTTCGATGAATGTCCTGATATAACATTATTGTTTGAACTTTTATTTCTTATGAAAGTGTATGAAGAAGAGATTCGAAGGTCGATCTTATCAAACAAATTATATATATATATATATATATACAGATAGAGAGAGAAAGAGATATCATTATGCATATAATTTTAAGATCAAAGGAATGAACAAATTTCTGCTTTCTTAGACATTCTGTAATTGTCTTAACAGAAGCAGTAATACTGTCTATTTTTCATCCACACTATTGGTGTTAGCCTAGTTTGCTACAACCTATTTTGGAAATAAATGCATTTTGTGAGTGATCTTAAGTAATTTTATCTTAAATGGAAATCAAATTTTAAATACTTATTGTTTTTACTGCTAAGAATTACAGAATCTGTACTAAGCAGAACATTTAAACTTCAAAACGGTCTGAAATAAGCGTAAGGTTAAATAAATACTAAATAAATACGAATAACAGCTAATCGGTAATGCCATTACTCTTCAAATTTAAAGTCTTCTTCGTGGTCATGCCATCCTTGACCTTGGGCCACATTTTGAGCAATCTAACTTAAAGTTAGCCACAATCATCCCTCCATCCAGCTACGCCCTTCAGGGTATCGCATTCTTTATTCACCACTGATTTAGCCACATTTTTACAGAAGTTTGAGAGGCTGGCGCATTAAGATACAATCATAAAAATGCCACAGTAATCTCCACCAAATGGACAAAAGCTTGTATGCTAAGCCGGAATTTTATCCACTCGTCTTTAATAGGGGAAGCTGGTTTAGTTTGTTTAATGCAGTTGTCTATTAGCATCAAATACAGAATTTAATCTTCATTTGGCCATAAGTAGGCCAAAGCAGTGGTGTATATAGGCGGGTAAAAAAGCAGTATATTATAATTAAAATGTTTAGTTGACCAGATCAACCTGCACGTTAATGAGGTTGAAGAATGGGTAAACTTTTTGCTCCTGTTGGAGGAAGTTAAGACATCAGTTCGGAATTGGAAATGTAGTTAGGTCTAGATTATAACGCAATTTTGGCCCATATGATATATCGAAATAAATGGAAATTCAGTCTCTACATTCAATCACCCTTAGGCAGCTTGGCGTCAAATGTGCCAGGCAAGCACTGAAAGACCTTCAGGCACAAGTAAATCCTGCGTATCAAAGAAGATAAAAGATTATGTGTAAATCTTCTTTTATATAACTGGTAAGTTAACTAAAAATAGCCTTAGTGTATCATGCGATAAATTTATGAATTAATTATCTATTTGTTATTAAGTAAGAAGTGCCAGTTATAAATTTTTATGCCAGGCCTTCATACTCTTATATTAATTCAGTCTACTCGGAGCAATGTTTCCCCTTCCCAGGATTCTTTATGCAATGGCAAAAGATGGCCTAATATTCCGTTTTCTTGGTAGAGTTAATCCTCGTGCACGAATTCCTTTATTGGCAACATTTCTTTCTGGAGCATTTTCAGGTGAGTAGACTGTTAAATCGAAGTAAATATTAATTTATCTAATGATCAATACTTTTTTTAACTGACTTTACGCAACTATATAATAAGTATCTAGAGTAATGAACAGATAATGTATGTCAGAGATGGGAATTTAATACCGAATAAATTATGGTGAGTCATATCTCAGACAGAATAAACCCAAATAGTAAATATGGAGAACTTATTGTTATTTGCTAAAAGAGGGGCTCATGATAGCAGGATTTACTTTGTCAAGCTTAGCCTCATATTTATGCACCTGTGGTGATGTGAGTGACTATTTTTTATGAATTTTTATACCACTTGGATGAGGATGCCTTCTTAGATCTGATTAGCTTATGAAGGAGG